GAAACTGTCCTCAATAGGAGGGGGGTGAACGAGCAGTGCGCTGGGCCAAGCTGCTGCAGCGCTGCAAGAGCTCGGACACGAAGGCGTGGTCTCGCTGCCGCCGCCCGAGCCGCCGCCGTGTTTGTAGATTTTCGGTACAATCTGACTTCGACGCACATCCCCGAGAGACTTCGAACTGTCCTCAATAGGAGGGGGGTGAACGAGCAGTGCGCTGGGCCAAGCTGCTGCAGCGCTGCAAGAGCTCGGACACGAAGGCGCGGTCTCGCTGCCGCCGCCCGAGCCGCCGCCGTGTTTGTAGATTTTCGGTACAATCTGCGCCGTTCCTCCGAGAACCATTCCAGAAAGATGTCGTGGACGGAGTCCACGGGTCAGCCCTAGTCTATACTACAATACCGGGATCAGTGCGTGCAACAGCCCCTCGAGTGGACTCGGCCCGGCCCCCGGCGCTCCTGGGCCGCTCCTGGGGCCCTGGTCCGTCGCCGGCGCTCCCGGAACGGCCTTGGTCCGTCGCCGGCGCTCCCCGAAGGGCCCTCGCCCGCTCGTCACGGATCCACGAGAGCCTCGAGCGAGCTCCGAAACAATCCCCCTAGGTCCCCTACAGGCCCGAGCGGCCCCAGAGGCTCTCTTGACGACCCCGAGAAAGCCTCACGAGGCAAAAAACATTAATTTTCCATTGATTTTTGACGATATTTCCGGTTCGGGCTCTTTCCAGCCGGAACGGCCCCAGAGGCGCCGCGACTCGTTTCAAGACCGCCCATGAGGCCCCCAAGAGAGCCCCAGAACGGCCCAAGAGTGTTCCAAGACTGCCCAAGGCGGCCCCAAGCCGCCCCAAGAGAGCCCCAAGAGGTCCCCGAGACCTCCCGTGAGGCCCCCAAGAGAGCCCCAGGACGGCCCAAGAGTGCCCCGAGACTGCCCAAGACGGCCCCAAGCCGGCCCAGGAGGGCCCCGAGACGGCCCCAAGCCGCTTCAAGAGAGCCCCAAGAGGTCCCCGAGACCTCCTATGAGGCCCCCAGGAAGGCCCCAGGACGGCACCAGAGTGCCCCAAGACTGCCCACGACGTTCCAAGCCAGCCCAAGACGGCCCCAAGAGGGTCCCCAGACACCCCCAGGAAATCCCAAAACGGCTAGACTGCTCAAGACGGACCCAAGCCGACCTAAGGCGGCCCGAAGAGGCCCCCGACGGCTCTCAAGAGAGACCCAATGCAGTCACAGGAGCTGCCACGACGGCCCCGCAGATGTCGGCGCCAGCTCCTGGAGGTACAGAGCCCATACCAGCACGTTCGGGGAGGGCGAGCTGTGGCATCCTGCCGTGGCGCTGTTCCTCCCCGTTGCCAACGCGGCGAACACTGACTCCAGGAGCCGTCGTCGCCGTCGCCGTCCGTCGTCTTCGCGGGCGATCGTCGTCGTCCTCATCGCCGAGTCCCTCCTCCCCTTTTTCCTTCATCTCACCTCCCTCCTTCCCTTTCCCATTCTCGTTCACCTGCCGCTCTTCGCGGGCGAGCCCGACGTCATAGCGGCGGTTAGCTGCGACCCTGGATGCCCCTCGGGAAACGGCGGCCGTTTGCCCTGGCCAGGTCCACGCGGGGAGCAGCAGAGTCCATGGTCACGAAGCCTCCCGCGGGAGCTCAAGGTACTCTTGCATCCCGGTGCTGTCGGCCATGGGCCGTCTGCCGCCACCCCTCGTGCACGCTCCGTCTTCACTCAACCCAGAGCGGCTGCGGGGAGTAGCAGAGACTACGGGCACGTGACCTCCCACGGGGGCTCAGGGTTCTCTTGCATCCTGGCGCTGTCTACAAGAGCGGCGGCGTTCGCCACGACCCTGGATCCACACGGGGAGCTGCTGGGACTACGGGCACGAGACCGCCGCGACCCTGGATCCATGCGTGGAGTAGCAGAGACTACGGGCACGGGACCTCCCACTGGGACTCAGGGTACTCTTGCATCCCGGTGCTGTCGCCTGGCCGCGTGCCCGACCTGGCTAGGTCTCAGTTTTGCACTTGCACTCCGGAGCCTTTTCGGCTCCTTTTAGCACGGGGTTCGCCGCCAGCCCGGCATGGTAGGTGTGACGAAACGTCATGTCTGCTCGGTCAAGCACTGTGGCTCTCGCACGCGGAGCCTCGACCCAGCGGACCACACGCGCCCGCTGTGCAAGGAGCATGGCGGCGAAGACGCGGACGCGTCGGCGAGGCTCGTGGGCCTTCGGCAAGGGGCCCGCAACGTCCACGAAGAACAGCTTCACCAGGTCGCCGTGTTGGCTGCGTTCGTGAACGCTTCGGCGGTAAGCACAGTGGAAAAAGTCCACGGCCAGCAAACAGCGAACGCACTCTTCCAGAAGGTGGCTTCGGACCCCCAGGTCCTGAAGTTTTTACAACACGACGAGTGGACAGAGCACGCTCGTGGCGAGGCGAACTTCGCTTTGAACGCCACGGACTTGTACCTCAGGGACTTCCTCCACCACACCCAGTTCTCTGAACAACTCTTGCACCTGTTCGTCACACGGCTACACTTCAACGCGGACGGAGCCAGCAAGACCCTTTTCTCCGACTACGAGCGGATGTTTGGACAGCCTCTGGCCGAGGGCAAGACGTTCAGTCGAGCCACCTTCCTGGAGGCTGCCCTTTCCCACAACATCCCAAGCCACTACCCGCACTACAAGCTGCAGCTGTACAACAACGAACGCAACCGACAGCTCTCCAACGGCACCGTCGCCGACACGCACGACACGAAGAAGTACGGCTTCCAGTTGCGCGTGTTGGCGGGGTGGCTCGACGAGCTGCTCCGGTCTCGAGCCTTCAGCAAGACGGCGGCCGCCGTCATGGGCGGCACCTCCTTGGACAAAGCGCTCCGGACGAAGTTGTTCGTTAACACGGAGTGGCACCGGATGCTCATAGGGCGCGATGTGACGGCCGTCAACCCCGAGGCAGCCGCCCGCGGCGGCTTCTCTTTGACCACCAACACCTTCGTCGGGGGCGGCGCCAAAGAGGTCCTCGAGCGCTGCACGGCCCCAGGCACTGACTGGTCCGCCCGGCTCGTCGCGGTCCACGAGAGCCTCACGCCCCTGCTGTTCGGCGTAGACTTGTACTGCCCACGGCGCACCGTCAGCCAGACCGAGGACCAGCTGTGCGAGCTCCGCCGGTGCGCCCGTAGCGGGCCCTCGAAGCCACAGGGCCGTTATCCCACATGACAACTAAATCTTTCCCTCCCGGGCCCGTTTTTCCGACGGCGGGTTCCTTTTTCTTCCCCGCGGGCCCAGTCCTCTCCCCGTCCTCGGGAGCGTGCTCTGCCCGCTTCCGTGGGGTTGTCTTTTTCCTGGTGCCGAAGGCCGGAGCCCTGGCTCCGGCCTTCGGGCGCGGTCTGAATGGCTCTGTCGCTTCGTGGGCCCACGAAGGTGGGAGACCCGGGAGCAGAAGAAGCGCGGCCGCTTGCGCAAGGGCGGGGCGCGCGTCGTCGACGCGCAGCTCACCCGGCGCGGCCGCCTTCGCAAGCACTGGCGGGCGCTTGGGTTCAAGAACAAGCCCAGCCCGCCCGACTACCTCGCCAACGCCGGCGTGGTGAGGGCGAGGGCGTTGGACCTCCGGTGAAACGCCTCGCCTGCGCTTGGCGACCAGCGCTTCCTCCCTCCTTTCCCCTGCCTCTTCTTTGCCTCGCCCTATTGCCACTCCTCGCTTTCCCTCCTTCTCTGCACCGCGTCCTCTCCCTCTCTCTCTCTCTGTATCTCTGTCTCTCATTTTCTCTCTTTCGCCCCGCCCCGGCCTTGATTGGACGGGCGCCGCTCTCATGCTCTCAGGCACCAGCCGCGCCAAATGCTGGTGACCGCGGCCTCCTCCGTCGGCGGGGGACCACTGGCGCTGCCCTCTGTCTGTCTCTCTCTCTCTCTCTCTCTCTCTCTCTCTCTCTTTCTCTCTCTCTCTCTCTCTCTCTCTCTCTCTCTCTCTCTCTCTCTCTCTCTCTCTCTCTCTCTCTCTCTCTCTCTCTCTCTCTCTCTCTCTCTCTCTCTCTCTCTCTCTCTCTCTCTCTCTCTCTCTCTCTCTCTCCCTCTCTCTTTGTCTCTCGCTCTCTCTCTCTTTCCCTTCTTCTCCCTCTCCCTTTGTCGCCCCTCTGTCTCCCCCCCCCTCTCTCCCCCCTCTCCGCTCCTCCCCGCGGTCCGTCTCCTCCTCCGTGCGCAGGGTCGGGCCAGAGCCCTGGGAGACTGCGCTTCGCGCCCGCTTTTTCCGAGAGTCGAGCACGCGGCGCCGACGGCACCGAGACACGCGCGCCTTCGCCCGGGGGAACGGGCAGGGTACAAAAAAATGGCCCTGAGCATTTCATCCTGCAATGCTGCACATCCTGCAATGCTGCATGTGCTGCTTGCACATCGCTGTGCCGTTCCCGTGCGTTCCCTTAAAAAATACTCAAAAACGAACGTTTTCCCCGTGTGTCCCTTGGACTGGCGCCGAAACCAGTAGGAATGGCTATATGCCGTCGACGCCGCCGCCCATGCAGGGCCGTTTTCGCGAACCTCCCAGGACAGCGTTTTCTGAGAATTTCCGAAAACATAGTGTGTTTGAGGCCATTCCAAGGGACACACGGAGAAACCGCTCGAGTTTTCAATGGATTGTCCGACAACCACCGGGCGGGGCCTTTCACTCGCAGCTTACCATACAGGCTCCCGCCATTCCGCCCTGATCGTTGTCATCATCATCATCATCGTCATCACCATCATCATCATAAATATCACCGCCATCTTCATCATCGCCCTCGTCATCACCACCATTATCATGAACATCATTGCCGTCATCGCTAAGACGACCCTATCCGTGCCTTTCATGATCACCATGACACCCGTCGCAAGGTGCAGGACCATGCTTTCCTCGCACAAATCGTGATTCCAGAGGGAGTTCCAAATACAGGATCACATCGGAAGCGACGCATGGGGCGTCGTTTCCTCGCCACGCTTGTGCATTCGGTAGCCTCCCAATTGGCTCCAGCATCCTCTGCGCGTTCTCGCGCCCGCTCACGACCATGGCTTTCTCGCCGGCAGCGAAGAAGCGCAAGGGCGACAACGCGGCCAGCGTCGTCGGCAGCCCCGGCGCAGCGTCCGCGCAGAGTGGCGCCCAAGTGCGCGGCCCTCTCGATTTGCAGGCCCACCCTCCCGGACAATCCGAACGTTTCCTTCGGACGATGTTCGCGCCCAGGCCCCCAACCAACCTTTTCACTCGCCAGGTGTTCCTTCGTCCTGCGCCGCCTCCCGTCGCACGAATCTTTACCTCGCAGGGCCCTCCAGCTTCTTGCTGTTGCACCCCCCCTCCCCGGCCCCTCCCAGGCGCTGAGCCAGCGCGCCGCAGTCGGCATGTCCCCGAAGGCGCCAGCGAAGAAGCCCAACAGCGCGCCGATCGAGGTCTTCGTCTGGCTCTACACCAAGTGCGGGTCGGACGTGTTTCCCGGGTTCCCGCAGACGGATCTCTTCGGCTTGCGTCTGCGGCACGAGGCTTTCCCCGCGGTGGATTCGGACATCCTCGCTTCCTTCAAAATGTTCCTGGGCGAAAAGAATGCGGAGAACGACGATTACCCGGCCGACCTGAAGGAGCTGAAGGACTACGAGCGCATCATCATCTCCCTGACCCAGACGCCCAAGGACGTCGAGGGCCGCCGCGTCCAGACCAACATGCCGCTCAAGGACACCGCCGCCCGCAAACTTCACCCTTTCGCCTCCTGACTCGCGTTGTCCTGAATATTCGGGGACAACCGATACCAGTACGAATAGGCCATCATATGTAAAGTCCCCGGCTTCCACAGGACTCCGGAATGACAAGTCCGCCCGAGGCCGTCAGCTGGTCGACGGCCATCGGTGTCTTTGTCCCCACACCTCGCCTTATAGCGACCCTCGGAGGAACGCAACCGACCCGCCTCAATAACGCAACCCAATCCCCCCCCCTCCGTCTTGCTATCCTGTCAGGAGTGGAGCGTCATGTTCTGGACCGACGAGCCCTTCCACTGCATGCGTCTCATCGCGGACTTCTCGCGGTGGAGGGCCCAGCACCGCCGCCCCGCGGACAAGAGCCCCTGGCCGGACCTGAGCACTCTCAAGATGGTGGTGAACCCATTCGTCAACGTGTCAATGGACGGCTTCAACACGGACAACATCACCATGCCCATGACGGTGAACGAACCGAGCACCACCTTGCAGTGCTCCATATTCGAGAGCTCCCCACCTGGTTCCTCTAAAATGGTTGAGGTCCGTGTCCAGGTGATCGACCAGAAGACCGTCTTCTTCGCTTGGGAGGGCCGCACCTTCCCCTACCGCGAGCGCTTCGACTTGAAGCGCATTGGCCGGGAGGACAACGTTCGCATATTGCCCCAGGCCCGCACGGACGTGAGCATTGCCGACAACGCAGCCTTCATTCGCGACGTTTTCAAGCAGGGCGTTCTCCGCGATCTGTCGGTGCACCTCGTGCTGGAGGAGAGCTCGGTTCCCGCCGACGGGCCCGTCAAGGAACTGCTGGACGAGTTTCGCGGAAACCCGCAGATTTATTTCAACGCCTTCTAAAATGTGACGGCCGCGCGAACCTCGCGCGCTCTTTTTTGGTCAGCCCGATGCCCGAGCGCTCGGAGGCCCCTGCTTGCAAGGGGGCACCTCTGCGACTCGCGCGCCGGCACCCCGCCTTAGGTTCACTGCTATTCTTTGTTCGCTGCCTTCTCCGCAACGTCCTCATCGGCATTTCAGCGCGGCCGTGCTTTGCGCGAGGCGTGGCTGGCGCCAGGCACCCTGGCGCGCATCCATTACCTCGCCCATCGCAATCGGCGCTCTCACCGTTCTGCGTGCGGAAGTACGTGCAGAGCGAGTCCACGGCCGCTTGATTGTTGCCCAGCCTTAGCGCGCCAGCTGAGCACCCAGGACTTCTGAAGCCAGCGACGTGTTTTTGTTTCAGCGCACCAGCCTCGTGGCAACGTACCGTTGAAAACACATACTGTCGGCCCCCGCGCACACCTAGAAAAGCTAGCGTTCTTCCCGTGTGTCCTCGGTACTCGGCCCAAAAGCCTTAGGAAATTACACATTTTGTGATTGGCGCCGCCACGTTTGCATCGTCCATAGGGCCTTTCCAAGACGGCACATTCGGGCAGTTCTCGAAAACACAGCGTGTTTCATCCCATTCCAAGGGACACACGAGAAAAACCTTAGTGAATCCGACGGTTCTCTCAGGCCCCCAGGAAACCCTTGGGACTTGACTCCATGAATCCCGGTGTGTTCTCCATTGACTCCGTTGTCCGTCCTGCGTTCTTGTCGGCTTGCGACTTCGACGCTGACGAGCATATGAACCCAGCAGCAGTCATGTTCTTTTGTAGGCTCGATGGTCCCCCGAAGAAGACCCAAACATTTCATCGCCTCGCCCGGGGCCTCAGTGCCCTTACTCCATGCGCCGCCCCCATCTCCCTGTACTATTCCCGCATGTGGCCAGCCCCCCGCGGGCAACCAGCGCGTCGTCCGTAGTCACTTCGGCTCAAACGCTTTCTCCGCGCTGGGATGCCCGCGCGCGCCCGCAAACGCCCGTGCGCGGCCGGCAGCGGACCCGCATTTGCGGGGCAACGATGGCAGGGAACTTTCCGGGCGTACCAGCGCTGGATAACAGCGCACTCACGACCCCCCGCGGAAGTGGGGGCGCGAGATCCCGAGGAGGCCCGCTTCGCGCACTGGGCCAGGCTTCAACGGGCCCGGCGCGCCTCGGGCCATCTGCGCCCTGAGTACGTGCGCGCGTTGGATGCGTGCCCTCACTGGTCATGGGATGCCGATTGGGACGCCCGTTTCGATGCACTGCAACGATGGCGCGCAAAGCACGGCCGGATGCCCCGACAAGGAGCTGCTGCTGCAGATTTCGAGGAGAGGAGCCTGAACAAGTGGGCGCGACAACAGGAACACCTCCTGCGCTCGCGCCGGCTGACTGAGGGGCGCGCGCAGGCGCTCCAGAGGTGGATCCCGTGGGGCGCCGGTCAGAAGGACAGTGTTTGGAACCAGTCTTACGACAGCTTGCGTAACTGGCTCCGTGCGCACGCCAACCGGTACCCGACGAGAGCGAACAACGCTTCCAAGACAGAGAAGTCTCTGCGTACCTTCGCAGACAACTGCCGCCGTTTGTACAACCGATCACCGGCCTCCGATGCAGGCATTGCCGTTCGTCGGTGCGAGCTCCTGCGCGCTCTGCCGGGATGGGACACGTTCGCGGAGCAGACGTCTTGGGATAGCAATTTCCAGAGACTTCAGGAGTGGCTGCGCACGCACTGCGGCGCATTCCCGGACAGCATGGGCACGTCCTCGACATCGCCAGAAGAACTGCGCCTTGCTGGGTGGATCCAGAGGCAGCGCGCTGCGTACCACTCTGTTCCGCGCCGCGCCGCTGGGCTTCACGACGATCAACAAGGCGTTAACGTTGTCCGGCTCTTGCCTGCCGACCTGCAAAACAGACTGGAATCTTTACCCAGGTGGTCGTGGCACAACCAACACAGACGACGGTGCACTTTCATCCTCCCGTCGACTCCCCCGCGCCCCTGCGGCGCCGACGCAACGACCAGGCCGCATGCGACCGGCATTTTCTATTGTCCCCTGCACGCGCGGGTGGTCTCCGCGACAGCCCCGCAGCGGCCTCCTCCACAGCAGCCGCCCGGAGCGCCGACCCTGGTTCCGCCGCCCCCAGCCGCATGTGCACACGACCACGTGCGACGACGCTTCTCCTACAAGCGTCCACCCATACCCAGAACCACGGTGGACCATGGCCCGGCCGGCGGGGCCTCCTCCCCGGCGGCGCCCTCCAAGTGCGCCTGGGCCTCGGGGTGCGCTGCGCCTCCCGTTGCGAGCTTCGCGGGTCTTCGATATTGCTTGACCCATGACCGCATACTTCGTGCTGAACGCCCCGCTGTCGCATCTATTGCGGACTACAGGGACAGCTTCTTCGTCCCGCACCAGGGGAGCGCCCTCGCGAGCGTCTGTGACCAATGCGGCTCCCACAACTTCGAGGAAGAGCGGGTGCAACGAGCAAACGCTCGGACAAGCATGCTCGGGCACTTCAGCATTTGCTGCCAGAACGGCAAGATTACTCCTGCCCAGATCCGGACGCTGCCATGCCCCCCGCCAGAGCTACTCGACATTCTGCGGGGCACTTCGCGAACGCACCAAGCAGCGCGAGCCGCCCTCAAGATGTACAACCACGCTTTCGCCTTCGTGTCCTACGGGGCGTCTTGCTTTGCAGACCAGGCTCCAGGGCGCGGCCCACCTGTTGTGATCTGCCACGGCACCGTATACCACAACTCGGGCTACCTGTTCCCCCGGGACGGCGACGCCCCCACGTTTGCCCAGGTGTACCTGTACGACCACAACGAGGCCGTGAAGGCGCGCACGGACAACCCTTATCATTCCGGGATCAACGCCGACATCGTGGAGCACTTGCAGCGCATGCTCGACCGGGTCAACCCGTACGTGCACCAGTTCCGACACATGCGGGACATCGTTCGCAACCACAACCCCACCAACGTGCAATTGTGCATTTCCCAGACGGAGGGCCAGGACATGCGCCGCTACAACAAGCCCCAAACTTACGAGCCAGCCGTGGTGTTCCGCAGCTCCGACGGCGTGCTTCACGGCACCCGGGATTTAGCTGTGTGGCCTCGACTAGATGATACAGAAGTCATCAGAATATGGCCCGAAAACGAAAACCTCGACCCCATGGCGTACCCCTTGCTGTTCCCTTGCGGGGACCCGGGATGGCGCCACGGACTGCAACGCGCAGGCCGCCAAACAGCTTCTCAAACGACATTGACGTGTGCCCAGTTCTACGCGTACCGCTTGATGCTCCGCGTTTACGTGCCCGACACTGACGATGCCGCGCAAGGTCGTTGGCCGACGACACAGCCGTCACTGCCGCATTCTGCAGGCTTGCTTTTCCAGACATGGCTCTGCGACGCTTGGAGCCGAGCAGAAAGCAACCGTCTGGCGTGGTACGCGCAGCACCAGGGCGACATTAGGGCGGAAACGTACCAGGGCCTCCACGACGCCGTCCACAGCGACGCTTTTCAACAAGGCCACACGAGAGTCGGCAGGAAGGTCATCCTGCCTCCGACCTTTCCGGGAGGACCCCGCGCTCTTCACCAGCATTACCTCGACGCCATGTCCATAGTGAGGGCTTTCGGGAAACCCGACTTCTTCATCACCATGACTGCGAACCCGAACTGGGCCGAGATTCAGGCGGCCCTGCGCGAGGGGGAAAGTGCTGCAGGGCGCCCGGATCTCGTGGCTCGCGTCTTCCGAACCAAGATGCAGCATCTGCTGGATCTCCTGTTGCGAGAGAGGGTGCTAGGCGGTGTAGTTGCCAACTGCTTTGTCGTGGAGTTCCAAAAACGGGGGCTCCCGCACGTGCACCTCCTCATCATAATGCAAGCTTCCGACAAGCCCAGGTCGGCCCTAGACATCGATGAGCGCATCAGCGCCGAATTGCCTGATCCAGCGGACCCGGAGCAGTCAGAGTTATTGAGAATCATACTGGCTTCCCAAATCCACGGTCCGCGCGGCTGCCGCAATCCGCGCGCTCCGTGCATGCAGGAGGGGGCGTGCACCAAGCGGTGCCCGCGGGAGTTCACCGAGACCACAGACATGCACAGAGACGGGTACCCAGTGTACCGACGACGGAAGTCGTCGCCGACGGCGATGAAGAATGGAATGCAGGTCGACGCCCGAGACGTTGTGCCGTACAACCCGTACTTGTCCAGAAAATTGGGGTGCCACCTCAACGTGGAGTACTGTGGCAGCATCCGTTGCGTCAAGTACCTTTTCAAGTACGTGCACAAAGGGCACGACCGGGCCGCCCTGGAATTCGACGGCGACGAAATCAAGCACTTCCTCGACGCTCGGTACGTGGGGCCTCCAGAAGCTTGTTGGCGCTTGCTGGCGTTCCCCTTGCATGGGAAATCGCACACCGTCGAACGCCTGGCCGTGCACCTGCGCGGCGGCGAGACGATATACTTCCAGGACGGGTCCGAGGCGGCCGCTGTGGCCGCGGGCAGCGAGACCACCTTGACGGCGTGGTTCCGCTTGAACGCAGAGCCGCCCGACGGATTTACGCCTCCGGCTCGCTCGCTGCATTACGCCGAGGTGCCGCAGTTCTTCTCCTGGAACCGCAGCAGGAAACTCTGGCAACGCAGGCGGGGCGCTGGTTCAGCTGGACGAGTACTCGGGCGTCTGGCCACTGCCACGCCGACAGAAGGTCCCAGATGGTATTTGTATCTATGCAGCTCGCTTCGCGACTGCGCCAGGCACGCGACGCACGCTTTCTTCTGCCTTCAAAGGTCCACGATCCCCGTACCCGACCCACCCCCATCCCCCTCGGCGCAATCTGGGATCCCACTCTCGCCGCCCGGGGCCCCGCGCCTCGGGCTCGCGGACTACTCTTGCACGTGACTGGGCCCACCAGTTTCTCGGACCTCGCCACCGTCGTCCATTCGGACGGCAATCGCCAAACATTCTACCAGCGGCGATGGAACGACGACACCTCCACGTGGGAGAACTCGGACGTGCCAGATTACCGGCGAGCATGCGAGGAGCAAGGCTTTGCGAACTCCAGCGACGAGTACGCCCGCTGCATGGAGGAGGCCGCTCGCCTACGGAGCGCCCCAGCGCTGCGCCGTCTCTTCGCCATGTTGCTCCTCCATTGCGAGCTCGCCTCCCCCGTGACCTTGTGGCAGCGATTCGCGAATGACCTCTGCGAGGACTTCCAGCGGCACCTCAGCGAGACCGACTCGGAGAACGCAGCGCTTCTGCACGTTCAAGAGGCACTCAGCCAGGCTGGGAAGACGCTGACGGACTTCGGATTGCCAACGCCCACGGACCACGACGTCGCGGGCCTGCAGCCCCGAGATGTTCGTAGGGAAACCGCCTACGACGCAGAAGAGGAATGGACATCTGCGCGGTCCCATCGGTCTATGATGAACGACGCGCAAGCGATCGTGTTTGACCAGGTCGCCGACGCCGTCATCGGAGCCCGTCCGCTCGCCGTGTTCATCGACGGCCCCGGCGGCACGGGCAAGACCTTTGTGTACAAGGCCATCCTCCACCACGTGCGTGGCATGGGAGAGATCGCCCTGCCGTGCGCTTGGAGCGGGATCGCTGCTGTCCTCCTGCCAGGGGGACGCACATGCCATTCCCGCTTCGGACTACCAGTGCCGCTGCCCTTGGACGACGTCGCTTCGAACATCGGGTTCCAGACGAGCCGCGCCGAAATCCTGCGACGAGCTAGAGTCATCCTCTGGGGCGAGGCGCCGATGGCCCCTCGGGGAGCACTGCAATGCGTCGATGCACTGCTGCGAGACGTTACCCAGACGGACGCGCCATTCGGCGGCAAGGTGGTGATCCTCGGCGGCGACTTCCGCCAGGTGCTCCCCGTCATCCCACGGGTTGCCCGCGAAGACCTCGTTCAGCATTCGCTGCTGAACCACCCTTTGTGGCGCGCGGGCGTTGTGGAGGTCCACGCCCTGACGGAGAACATGCGGGCCAGGGGCGACGCCGATTGGCAGCGTTTCCTCTTGGACATCGGAGACGGCCGCGCACCGACCTTTCCGGACATCCACCCCGAGGCCGTGCGCCTGCCCGACAACATCGTCGCCCCCAGCCATTGGGGGCCGGAGGACCTCGCGCGCGCCATCTACGCCGACATCGCTGCGTCAGCGGCGAGGTGCGTCGGGGGCGACGTGGCCGCCGAAGACTTGCAGTACTTCTGCGATAGGGCGATTCTCACTCCGAAGAACGCGACGGCCGACTCAGTGAACGTCGCTATATTGCGCGAAGCTTTCCCGGACACGACCGTCACGTACTACAGCGTGGACGACGTGGACGCCGCGTCGCCGGCGGAGCGGGACCTCTGGCCGACGGACTTCTTGAACAGCCTCACGCCGTCTGGACTGCCGCCCCACGAGCTCGCGCTCGCGCCGGGGGCCCTGGTCATGTTGCTCAGAAATTTAGACGCCGACGCGGGCCTGGTCAACGGAGTTCGCGCCATCGTCGTCCGCGCGCAGCCCCGGGTCCTCGACGTGCTCCTCGTGTCTGGCACACAAGCGGGCACCAGAGCATACATTCCCAAGATCGCCCTTGCGCCTCGGAACCCGGACTTGCCGTTCATCTTGCGTCGCTTCCAATTTCCCGCGCGGCTGGCATGGTGCATGACAATAAACAAAGCGCAGGGACAGACGTTGCAGCACGTCGGGTTGTACTTGCCAGACCCCGTGTTCTCCCACGGCCAGCTATACGTGGCCTTCAGCCGGGTCGGGGCGTCCAACCGCATCCTCGCACTGGTCCCCACCACTGACGAACACGGAGCGCGGGAAGCTTCGGATACATATCCCACTGGCACGTACACGAAGAACGTCGTCTGGCCAGAAGCGCCCCTGAGCCACCCCCGCCCAGCGCCATCGCCTGCCCACCCCGCCGCGCGCGCAGATACAGAGATGCCGCTCGCGGGCGCCGCTTCCAGCAGTGACGACGCACCGGCGTTCCTGGACGAGGGCTCCGAGGCGCCGCCGAGCCCCGCTGCTCGGCCGCGACGCTTCGCGCGGGACCACGGGCCAGACGACATCGATGAGTTCGGGCCGGCGCCCCCAGACGATGCTTCTGCTAACGTCGTCCTCGCACCGCTGCGCCTGCGCGGAGAAGTCGTGGACGCCCCAGCGCCTCCTGAGACGCTGTTCCAAACATGCGCAGCCACAGAGAACGACAATCCCAGTGCAGATTCCGCCGACCCCATGCCCTCAACACAGCTACGATGCGAGGCCGCCAGCTCATCGAAGCAGAGGGAGCGATTCACCGGATTCTTCGAGCGGCAGCGCGGCGCCCATTGCGGCATGCACGCGCTCAACAACGCCCTGGGCTTCGCGCTGCTCGACGAGGGGACCATGGAGGCATCCGCCCATGCATTCATCGAGCATGCCGCTTTAGACGGCCTCCCACAGCGCCTGCGCGACCACATGAGCCCCTCTGGAGATTATTCCGAGGCGGTGCTGGCGTTTGTGCTTCAACGATGCGGAAACAGTTTCTCCTTGAACCTCAATGCTCCCGTTCTACCACAGGACGCGATGAACATTTTTGCGCCTAACGTGGTCGGGGTCGTGGTAAACCAGAACAACGCACATTGGATTGCGGTGAAGGCTGTGTCCGGCCGAATCTGGAAGTTGGACAGCGCACCAGGTGATGGACGTAGTGTTGCGGAGCCTGTACTCTGTGAGCTTAGCGACTTCCAGAAGCTCCTGCGCAGACATCCCACCGCGTGCCCACTGCTCGACATCCGGCCGCGCACGTAGAGCCTGAACGACGTTGACAAATCGCATGTCCTGAAAACACTGGCCTTCGGCGCACCCCGCCAACGTGCCTTGGCGGTGGAGCACTTTCTCCCACATGCTTTTCGGGGTTTCTTCTGACTTTTGGAGCTCTCCGGAGATCATTTCCGAGTTCTCTTGGAACATTTCGAGTGCGTTCTACCAGGGCGGGCGATCTTTGGGCCCGCCACGACTTTCCCTAGAGCCCCGCGACATTCCCACATGGACCGCCGCTCGCTTTGAAAGCTTCCACATGGGCCCGTCCATGACGTCGCCGCACATACCTCCGAAACCCAACGTTTTCCCCGTGTGTCCTTTCAAATCGGCCCAAACACATTAGGAAAATGCGCATTTCGCTGCTGGCGCCGTGCCGACCGCATCGTCCAAAGCACTTTGCAAATACGACAGGTTATGGCAATTCTCGAAAACACCATGCGTTTCAGGCGATTGCAAGGGACACACGGGACAGCGCATCGTGAATCCAACGTTTTTCTCCACCCGACAGGTTGGGGTCGTTAGATTTCTCAGAACAGACCTCCCGGCCACACCCCCACCCTGCATACCGCGGCCGCCAGACCCCGAGTGGTCCCAGTGCTCCCTGGGGCTCCCGCCCCATCCCGCCTCGCGCCCTCGACGAACACGACAGAATACAACATGACAGCGCAGAACATGACGAACACGACAGAACACAACATCACAGAACAGAACAGAGCATGACAGAACATGACAGAACAGCACATACCAGAACAGAGCATGACAGAAGACATCCGCCTTCTTCCCCACCCGACAGGTTGGGGTCGTTAGATTTCTCAGAACAGACCCCCCGGCCACACCCCCACATTGCATACCGCGGCCGCCAGACCCCAAGTTGTCCCAGTGCTCCCTGGGACCGGCCACGCTGTCGGGCCACCAGGACCGGCTGCACGACGCCGCCTTCTCGCCCGACGAGCAGCAGGTGATCACATACTCCGCGGGAGGAAGAGCAGGAAGAAGAGGATGGTGGGGATCGCTCGAAGCACATAATTTTTTTCGGGCCGCAGCTTCCCTGGGACTCTCTCCATCGATCCCTCTTGGGGCCTCTGCGTCACGTCTTCTGGCAATGTTTGCCTGTCATGAGGCCATCGTGGGCCGTCTTGCGGGCCTTGGGCGGTCTTGGACCAATATTGGAGCGGTCCTGGCCGTCTTAGAGCGATGGGACCCAAAAAGCTCGAACCCCAAATAGCTGTACCAACGTATGGACAAGCTCTTACTCTTGCCTCGTGAGGCCCACTTGGGAAGTCTCTTGGAGGCCTCTTGGGTCATCTTGGAAGCCTCTAGAGCTGTCTGGGGGCCATCTTCAGAGTCTTGAGGCGCTCTTTGACCGTCTTCGGCGCTTGGTGAGGAGCCCCGCGAAAGTCCCCGGCACGTCTGGGGACGTGCAGCCGTCCCAGAGACTATGCGAGACACGCCGAACCGCGCAGGAACGCCCGATAACGTCGGGGACATTGGTGGTTGAACCACTGGCGCCATCTCCTTTGCCGCCGCATCGTCCGACATGCCGTTCCTCTCTCCATTCCTTCGCCGTCATCCCCGATCTGACCCTTCCCGTCCCCTCTGCGCCCTCTTCGCCTCCGCCGGTGACGTCCTCACCTGCTCGGAGAGCCGCTGTTGAAGACATGGACTGACGGCCGAAAAAACACTGCACCTTTTTTGGTGGATTTTTTTCACCCGTTTTTGTTTTCCGCAGACTTCGGCCTCTCGGGGCTTTTTCCGGGCCCAGGGCCCCTGAGGCACAGACCCGGGGCGGACAATTGCGCCGGATGGACACAGGGAGGGGTCCTGGGACGCATTTAGAGATGAGTTGCATTGCTTTTCCACGGGGTGTAGCACGAACGCCCTCCATCCACGGATATGGGCAACCTCGAGGGTCCAGTTTCTCCAGCATCTCTTCACGAAGTCGCAGCTCTGCCACTATCCATACAAACACGCGCCCTTCTTTCTCCCAGGGCCCCAACCCACAGGGTTTCCGAGCTTCGTCCGGACGTGGACACAAGGAGTGACCGTACTGGCCAAAACCCTTCAGCCCTCAAGCCACGAGGACGAATTTCAGACCCGTTGTGATTGTTCCACGATCCGACCCAGAGCGTGGCCTGCGGCACGAGAACGCCGCAGTCAAGCGCCCCTAATCCCGTTATCTGCTCTCCTCCCGCCTCCACCTCCATCCTTGCCATCCCACCCCCCAAGGAGCTTTACGGACCAGATCTTCGAGGAGCTGTTCGGCTCCGATGCTATGTTCTGCTACGCCTTCGCCGGCTCACACACACGGCGTGCGCGTCTCAGGTTCAGCACACCGTGGATTTAATCCACGGGTGCACACTAGTCAGCTACAATGCTGGGATCAGCGCGTGCGAGAAGGGCGAGCAGTGGCAGCGGGCCCTGGCGCTGCTGATCGAGATGCGGGAGGCGAAGCTGGAGCCCGACGTCATCAGCTACACCGCTGGGATCGGCGCCTGCGAGAAAGGCAGGCAATGGCAGTGGGCTTTTGCGTTGCTCAGCCACATGTGGGAGGCGAAGTTCGAAGCCAACCGCAGCAACGGGGTGCATAGGGGGCGCTGGGAATGTCTGCGCCTTCCAGACGGCCCCAGCGAGTCCAAGAGGCCTCCAACAATAGAAGATGTTCTATGTCTATATGTTTTCCAACGCTTTCAGCATATGCGATGTTTGGGCCTTTGCAGCGTCCATGACGGCCCAACAGCCCCCCAGATCGCCCCAAGCTGGCCCAAGAGGCATCCAAAGAGAATCCCAAGGCGGTTCGAGAGAACCCCAAGACAGCCCAAGACGGCCCAAGAGAGGCCCAAGACGGACAAGAGAGTCCAAGACGACCCAATATGGCTCAGAGATTGCCCACTCGTGCCCCATGTGCATCCCAAGACGGCCCCATGAGCGCTCCCAGAGAGCCCGAAAGAGGAGCCCCAAAGGATCCTACAACGCACCCCCCTGTTGCAGCACCCGTTGGGTGCTTTCCGAAGGCCCTCTTGGGGCCGCCTTCGGGCCCTCTGGAGCCCGTGCTGGGGCAATTTTGAGGTCCTCCAGGTGCTCCCAGAACCTCCTGCAAGTCTGCAAGACGGCCCAAGAGAGCTGCAATACAGCTCAGGGAAAGCCCCAAGAGCGGCCCACGAGGCGCCCAAGACGACCCAAGATGGCCCAGAGATGGCCCAGGAGAGCCCCGGGTGCCTCCCAAGACGGCCCAGAAGAGCTCCCAGAGAGCCCGAAGAGGCTCCCAAACTCCCAAACAGATGCTGCAACGCACCCCCTGCTCTTTGGCATCCGTCGGATGCTCTTTCTCGGGGCAAGACAGCGCCGGCGGCGCCGCGTGCGGGAAGGGCGGGGGACCCGCTGGCTCAAGATCGCGCCGGTCGGCTTGGGCGCGCTCTTGGGCGGCCCCCGGGAGGCCTCAGGACGCCTCCAGAGGGCCGCAGGGCGACCCCAAGACGGCTTCTAGACGCTCGGGAGGCCCCAAGGCCGCCCAAGAGGCCTCCTCGACGCTCCCAGATGCTTCGAAGAAGGCTTCCAAGAGGGCCCCAAGAAGCACAGATCGTCCCAATCAATTTTCGGACAACGTGTATTTTGCCGTTCTCGCGTTTCTCGTTCCCACGACGCCCACGACGGCCCTCCTACCCTACCCTCCAAGGTTGCCCGAGGACAACAGGCCCGAAGGCCCCCCAGGGAGCCCAAGACGCCCCAGGACGGTTCCAAGACGGCTCAGGAGGTGCCCAAGACGGCCCGACAGCTCCCGGGGACCCCAAGACGGCCCGAGAGCCACCCGAGACTGCCCTAAGACGGCCCACGAGGCGCCCAAAGTGGCCCCAGAGGCCCCAAAGAGGCCGAAAAGACTCCCAAGAAGCACCCAAACGGCTGTAAAAGCACCAGGCAGAAGCAAGCACGCTTGCCCAGACACCGTTCGCCACCTCGAGCAGATGTCGTGGGCGTAGTCCACGGGTCGGCTTTAGTCAGCTACAACGCTGCGATCAGCGCGTGCCAGAACGGCAAGCAGTGGCAGAGGGCTCTGTTTCTGCTAAGAGACATCCGCCAGATGAACTTGTACTCGGACTTGTTCGTGTATGGGATTGTAGCCAGCATGTGCGAGCATGGCGGACACAAGAAACTGGTGCAGTCGTTGACGAGGGAGATGTGCGGCCTGATCGCAGCGGAATAGCGTAATCCGTATTCTATTGCCAGGCCCGTGTTGCAGGTAAAGAATGTCGTTAGCGAAGGCAGCGAATTTCGCGATGCTGTGGAGAGCCCAGCGGCAGTTTTATTACCGCTACGAAATCAGCACCTGCGAGCAGGGCAAGCAGTCGCAGCAGGCCTTGTCGCTTCTCTGCGCGACGTGGGAAGCAAAACTGAAGCCCGACGTTACCTCTACTATAATGCAGCGTTCACCGCTAGCCAAATGGGCGAGCGGTCGCCGTGGGCCACAGGCGCGGCCCGGGGGCCCCGACGCGCTTCCAAGATGGCTTCAGAGCGCTTCGAGCCGTCCCCGGAGGCCCCCAAGAGAGCCCGAAGACGGCCGAAGACGGTCCAAGAGGGCCTCCGAGACGGGCCCCGAGCGCTCGAAGACGCCCAAGTCAGCCGCCCGACGGCCCAAGAGGCCCCCAAAATGCTCCAAGTGGGCTCCAGAGAAAGCCCCCAGAGAGCCTGAACAAGGAAAACTCGTCCCCAAGCCCCAGGGAAAGCGTGCATTTCGGGAGTTCCCGTGTTTCTCGTCTTCGAAGCGTCCAAGACGGCCACACAGGCCCTCAAGATCGTCCCAAGACGCCTCAGGAGGCTGCCAGGAGGGCCCCAAGACGGCCCAACACTGCGCCAGGACGGCTCCACAGAAGCCCATGGCGGCCCCAAGAGCGCTCCGAGCCGCCCCCGGAGGCCCCCCGAGGACGGCCGAAGTGTTCAAGAGGGCCTCCGAGACGGTTCCCGAGCGCTCGAAGACGCCCAAGACAGCTGCCCGACGGCCCAAGAGGCCCCCATAATGCTCCAAGTGGGCTCCAGAGAAAGCCCCCGGAGAGCCTGAACAAGGACAAATCGTCCCCATCCTTACGGAAATCGTGCATTTCGGGAGTTCCCGTGTTTCTCGTCTTCGAAGCAACCAAGACGGCCACACTGGCCCTCAAGATCGTCCCAAGACGCCTCAGGAGGCCCCCAAGACGGCCCAACACTGCGCCAGGACGGCTCCACAGAAGCCCATGGGGGCCCCAAGAGGGGGCCAGGAAGGTGGGAGCGCTCCCGAGGGGCCCCAGGGGCCCCGGCGCGTTTCCAAGATGGCTTCAGAGCGCTCCGAGCCGTCCCCGGAGGCCCCCAAGAGAGCCCGAAGAATGCCGAAAGCGGTCCAAGAGGGCCTCCGAGACGTGGTGGGCTCCAGAGAAAGCCCCCGGAGAGCCTGAACAAGGAAAACTCGTCCCAAGCCCTAGGGAAAGCGTGCATTTCGGGAGTTCCCGTGTTTCTCGTCTTCGAAGCGTCCAAGACGGCCACACAGGCCCTCAAGATCGCCCCAAGACGCCTCAGGAGGCTGCCAGGAGGGCTTCAAGACGGCCCAACATTGCGCCAGGACGGCTCCACAGAAGCCCATGGCGGCCCCAAGAGGGGGCCAGGACAGGGTGGGAGCGCTCCCGAGGGGCCCCAGGGGCCCCGGCGCGCTTCCAAGATGGCTTCAGAGCGCTCCGAGCCGCCCCCGGAGGCCCCCCAAGGACGGCCGAAGTGTTCAAGAGGGCCTCCGAGACGGTTCCCGAGCGCTCGAAGACGCCCAAGACAGCTGCCCGACGGCCCAAGAGGCCCCCAAAATGCTCCAAGTGGGCTCCAGAGAGAGCCCCCGGAGAGCCTGAACAAGGACAAATCGTCCCCATTCCCACGGAAAGCATGCATTTCTGGAATTCTAGACGCTTCTCGTAACCCCACCAGCCTATTGGGGTTATTTGCATCGCGCCATTTTGGCAGCGTAGTTGCAGACTCCCTGGGTGCTGGTCCTGGGCGTCAGACACCCTGGGTTGCAGCCCCCTTGCACCCGCCGCCCCGGCGCCGGCCGCGGCCCGCGCGCGCGTTCGGCCAATTAGTATCGGCCGCAGCCCGACCGTTATTCGCCGCCGCAGGCGCTTCCGCCCGCGGCTGTAATAATAATAATAATAATAATAATAAAAATAGTGGTAATAATGATGATAATACTAAGAGTACTACTACTACTACTACTACTACTACTACTACTACTACTACTACTACTACTACTACTACTACTACTACTACTACTACTACTACTACTACTACTACTACTACTACTACTACTACTACTACTACTACTACTACTACTACTACTACTACTACTACTACTACTACTACTACTACTACTACTATAATAATAATAATAATAATAATAGTAATAATAATACTAATGACAATAATAATAATAATAATATTAAAAAGTAACCCCACCAGCCCATCCAGAAACGATGCACGGAGGATCAGGGAAGTGGGCAGCACACAGAGGAAGGGTCCCCCAGTGGAGGCCTCTTGGAGCGTCTTGGGTGCCTCGGAAAGAGCTTCTGGGGGCTTCTTGCGGGTCTCTTGGGAGCAGCTTGGAGGCCTCTTGGGCGCCTGTTGGGGCCTCCTGGGCGCCTCTTTGGCCCCTCTTGAAGCGCTCTTGGGAGCCTTGGGAGCGCTCTTGGGGCCATCTTGGGGGACATCGATCAAGCAAGAAGCGAGCATTAGTCAGCGCTGCCCCTCGGGAGCCCCAACAATCGCCTCTTGGGGCGCTCTTGGGGCGCTCTTGGAGCGCTCTTAGGCGCTCTTGGGGCCGTCTTGGGGCTCTCTGGAGCCTCTCTTGGAGCCCTCTTGGGCCATCTTGGGGCCATCTTGAAGCCTCGGATGGCCATCGGAAGCGAAAAGGTGAGAATGGGGGTTCGCGCACGAAAATGTTGTGCCTGTCGCGTCTTGTCGCTCCCCCCCCTCGCTTTGCCGAAAGCCTTTGGCTCCGCAGATCAACCGGAGAGTTGGCGGCGCGCACGGTGGCCGCCGGGCTCGCTCACTGGCAGTGGGCGACCCTGGCCGCGCTCGCTTCGCTGCCCGAGCTGCGTCGGCGTCGGCTCACGCCTGAGGCGAACGAGCCCGCAGCGGTCGGTCCCAACCTCCTCCTCCTCCTCCTCCTCCCCTCCTCCTCCTCCTCCTCCTCCTCCTCCTCCTCCTCCTCCTCCTCCTCCTCCTCTCCTCCTCCTCCTCCTCCTCCGCCCTACGCGTGGGCACTGGGTACCGTATCCTGGTACTCAGTCTTCACGTACAGGGCATACTATCAGGGCTGCTCGCTGCAGCAGGCAAGGAGAGAAGCAACCGGGTCCAATTTTCGGAGCCAGCGGCAAGCAGTTTGTTTGTCCGCATGTGGCGCCTTAGCTGCGCCCGTGGCCTGGAGGTGGGTACCAGGCACGGGGATTGCGCATTTGGTCGGGAGGTGGGGTCGTGTGGCCCGTGAACCCCATGGGACCTTGTGTCCACCCGCCCTGGGCTTGTCGTATTCGTACAGTCCGGTTGCGCATGCCGCTCGATTCGGCAGGGTTGGTCGTGGTTTTCCTGGCCGAGGAACCTGAAATAACGGTGAAGGCTTCAGGGGACCATGCCACCCTACGCACCGAACCGTCTCGTGCGGGCAGCGAGTCACGGCCGACGTGGTCTTCTCACCGTTCCTTGGTCTGCTTGTTGGGAAGACATCGTCTTTTTACAGTCTTCAGTCTCCTCCTCCTCTTCCTCCTCCTCCTCCTCCTCCTCCTCCTCCTCCTCCTCCTCCTCCTCCTCCTCCTCCCCTCCCCCCCCCCTCGTCTTCTTCGACGCTCGAACAGCCGAGGGACCAAGGCCCCCCGCCCCCACCGCCGCGGGCCGTGACACAGGCCGAAGGCCAGGAGGGCAGCCAAGGCCAGGCCGCCCCCGAGTGTCGCTGCGAGCGCGGTGATTCCGAGGCGCCCTCGGGGGGCTGGGCCGGCGTCCTGCTGGGCTTGTTGACGTTCGGACTCCAGGCACGCGCCTGGCTACAGAGTCGTCAAGATGGCGCTGCTGCCGAGAGGCTCGAGCGGCGCGAGGCTGGTGCTGGAGACGGGGCTCGTCGGCACCGAAGAGGCTATATCGCCTGGGCTACGGCCTGGGCAGACTGCGGCGGTGAAGTATGGCGAGGACGCTCTGTGGCACGAACGGCTTCTGGTCGGCACGAGTGTTGAGGAGCTGGGGACGTCTCCAGGCTGGAACTGGCGCATCGTCACGCCTGACGGAGATGAGTATGACGAGGCGCTGGATGGTAGCCAGCCTGGACCGCATCGGCTCGCGATGCTTTCGCTCGACGGGAGTCCGCCGAGAGTGCTGCGCGGAAAGTTTTATAGGTTCAAAGAGTACCGGACTGACGAGCAGCTGGTGCGGAAGGCAATGGAGCACTACCGCATGCACGCCCTGGCCGGGACTCCCCAGCGCCTGCCCGAGGACTACGCGACCAGCGTTGGGGAGGTGGCGCCGTGGCCCGACGAGGCCCGCCGGGAGATGGAGGCGGCAGTGGTGCCTCATGACGGCGGCGGCGTCGGGGGGGGCGCGGGGGTCCCGCGGCCCCTTGGTCGGGCGCCGCCCGGCTGGTGCTGGATCGTGTTCGGGTTCGAGGGGCCGGGCGCCGTCGGGGTGGTGGTGGAGCCAACCGACGGCGTGGACGTCCCTGCGGGCTCCTGCACGATGCTGAAGCAGCACGCCGGCGACCTGTACGTCAAGTGCATGCTGGTGGAGAGGTATGAGGCGGATGGCCGCGTCCGCGAGCTCCTCGATTTGACGGCTGCGGCGGTGAAGCCCGCGGTCCATGAGAGCGACGCCGGCGGCGGGAAGGGCACAGACTCTCCCATCGCTGAGCCACCCGCCGCGGTCGCCGAGGACTGTCGTACCTTGTGGGTAGACTTCGATCCCCGATGTGAGCGGTTCAAAGAGTGGAGGCAGGTGTGTCTGGAGTCCCGCTCAGAGAAGTTGGGCGACGGGTCCGTGGAGGGGCCAGCTAGCCTCGCTGCTGCACTGGATGAACCAGACCTCCCGCAACGGCGGCAATCCCAAGATCTGGCTTGCAGAGTTCTGTCGGGATCGTCGGATCGAGAAGAATGACAGGGTGTTCCACGTGTTGCACAACCTGATTGAGGTGGTGTATATTGGGGGTACCTACGACCAGCTGAATATGCCGGCGTTGCAAAGCTTCGAGCGCATTAGCCATCGTGGACGCCTGCAGTGGTTCAGGCACTCCTTCGTGGCGGATGGCTCGACACTATGAGGGTGTCGCGGGGTACTGGACAGCGTGTCCCCCGCGCTCCGGCAGTGGGGCATCAGGAAGGCGAGAGACGAGAATGAGCTGAACACGGCCCG